CTCGCTGCGGCTTTAGCAAGATTAAGACTTCTATACAAATTCACCCAAATAATACTGAGACTTTTTCTTCCAAGATTTAACCAAGTCTTCACAGCTCATGAAAATTCTGATACATATTTGGTGCATTCAGGAATTGATCAAGGTGAAGTTATATCATCACTTTTGTGATGTATATACTATGACCCGCTATTATGCGCCATCAACAATTCTCAACATAGTTTTATTACAGAAGTCAATTGGCGTTCTGATGCCCATCTTTCCTTTACTAATAATTCTCATCTCAAGATTCCTGCACTTGCTTACATGGACGACACTCTCTGGCTTGCTAAATCTAGAGAAGACCTAACAAATATTACATCTATTGCCAATAGTTTCTTCGATTTTAATAATATACAAGTGAACTGATTAAAATCAGAATTGCTCGTCAACACTTTCCAACAGAGTCCTTTCAAAATCATTCATAATAATACTATATGGTCAATTAATACGCTATCCCTAAAGCTAGTGTTCGTTACTTGGGTGTTTGAATCTCACTCAAGTTTAATAAGAGTTTTATTTACAGTCAAATACACAGTGAAATAAAAAAAGCCGTCACTATTATGAAGTATAAACACCTGATAGATTCGCAACTAATATATATCTTTAATACAGTTCTCCTTTCAAGAATTGAGTACAGATCACAACTCACATTACTATCTAAAACACAATGCAAAAGCTTTATCGCTACATACATCGCTTTTGTCAAAAGAAAACTCAAACTCTCCAGACATACCCCAACGGATTTATTCCATTCACATTACTTCTACAATCTGACCTTCTTGTATCAGAGATTAATACAGAATTTTAGTAATGCTATGTTACAGATGTCTAATGAAACTAATATACTAGAAAGATCCTTTCATTTACGTACCCTTCAACTTCAATAAAAAGAATGGCTCTTTGAGAATCCTCTGATCTATTGGCCATTCACAAAAATAACACAATCTGATGATTGGCTCCCTTCTCTTCTATGTGACCTCAAAATTATGAAACTAGAACTTAATGTACCTACAACTTTATCCAATAGAATTCTAGGAGGAATATTCCCTGTTTCTGAATTATCTAATTATGATTACAGAAAGCATGCTCATGGGCTATGAAAGTTTTTCATACTTTTCATGAAGCAACTCACCAACTACCAAGGAAACTATATGTTCACATTTCGTGATCTGAATACTATCACCAATCCTATTACCCGTAGTTTTCAAATTGCAAAATGGTTTAAAACCTTAGAATCAAGTCTAAATCCTGATCAACATAGACTACTTTCACCTGCATTTAATTTTAAACACAAGTCTTGCTATGGTTACTCCATCACTCCTCCTACCTACTCTCATCAAACACCCAAATTTGCAGTTGGTTGGCACACTGCGGTCAATTATTTCATCATAGGAAGAATTATAAAAATTGATTATGATACCATACACCTGAGATATTACATACCTTCAATTGGTCTTGAAAATATAACAATCCTCGAACCTTGTGTCTATTGCCGCTTTCATCAGACTACAGCCACTAAATTCAGAGGACCTTACAATAGTTGTTGTTTCATGTTACCTATCTCCTTTTGTGCAAAAATTCCTACAACGAAAAACATTAATCGTATCGATCGACTCCACAGTGTTCTTTCTAATGATGCACTTTATGAATTTGCCCTAACATGTTTTCTAAAAAATAATAACCAAAGTCTATTTGTAGCTCCAAGAAACTTTACTACGCCTTCCTATACTAATTTATTTGACAAGTATCTGTCACCTCCCTTCAATTCACAGTTACTAACCATATCTCAATCCTTTTCTTCTTCTTCTGTTCTTGAATTCTACATAGATGAATCACTGAAAGATATAGGTCTTCCTACGATAAGAATGGGTATTGCCTGGCTTCAAACTCACCAAAGTTTACCAATGATTTCCTTTTCTTCGACTTTTACATCTCCTTTTCCTTCCTCGTCATTACCTGAATTTGCAGCTATTTTTACTGCCTTACTTACAGCCCACTATCCTGTAACATTACTTTTTATACTAATTCAGCAGTCATCATCTCCCAATTTAACAAATATAAGTTCCTTCTCACAAAAGCTTCCACCGTTTGCCTGCTCTCAAAATTAATAATTATGTGCACTGGTCTTGTTTTTTTGATATAATGAACACTCACAACCTCACAGTTAAAATGATCAAAGTCAAAACTCATACTAACAATATCTTCAACAACAAAGTTGACGCTTTGGCAAAATCCAATTTAGACATCACAGCCCTTCAACTATATATAAACAACGCATCTTGATGCTACTTCACACATAATAATACTCTGGTGCTAATACTTATCAGACAATTTTGCAAAGAATTGTTTTGTGAACGTTTTCTTTCCCGATTACTTCAACTCTCTGTCCTTGCAAAGCATTCACTGCTATATCAAATTAACTGATTTGCCACCTTCTTCATACTCAATAACAACACGGTAACACAATCTACCTCTTACTCCGCCTTCTTTATTAGAAGAACAAAATATCAACGTCTTCTTGAAATGTTACCAACTTTTGAGATTCTCAAATTAAGACATTCTTCCATATATAAGCATTCACTTTTGTGTCTCAGATGTGACGTCGCTGATGAAAACTTTTATCACATATGGATGTATTCTACTGTCAATTACGAAATGAAAAAGATAATTTAACAATCAAAAACTTATTTAAAAGATATAACCAATGCACATGATTATGAAATTGAGCAGTTGAATGTATGATTGCTTGATACTTATAATACTTCTGAATTTTTTGCTCTTATTAGAGGCATAGTTCTAGCACCCCTTTTTAAATTTTTTCTAAAGAAATTTTCATCCCAAAGTTTAACTTTAGCTGCCTGTTCTTCTTTCATGCATCTTATCTTTGAACTTACACAAAAAGTTTGGCGCGACCATTGTCAACTTATGCATAATTTTAAAAAATCTTTCAATATTACCCTTGAGTCTAAGACTGCCAATTTTGTCACATTAGATTATGATCTATCCTCTAACCCTTCCACTCATTCTTTTAGCTCTCCTCCAATATCTTCTATGATACAGATGGGATCTCATTGGTCAAATTTTTGGTGCAGTAGTGGCCTTGCCCTCTCCACTTTCTTACGTATGTTTACTCGAAAAGTGATTTTTCTAGCTTAGGTTATAAAATGATTTTGGGGAAGTGCAAGGTCAGTCTTTTATAGTTTTAATTTTTGATTAGTTCTTTACAAGATTTTTGTAATTTCTTTTAATTTGTACTTTATTATATCTTACTTTCATAATAAAGATATTGCGAAACTACCGCACTTTAAAATAAAAAAAAAAAAAATTTTATTAATAATTTATCCATTTTTATATATAATTTATCTATTTTTAATAATTATTTATACATATTTTATATTGTGTAATATATGCATACAAAAATTTAATGTGCATATGTATACATTATGCATGTGAATTTTACACACTGATGCTAATTAATATATTGAATTATTTTAGAAAATTAAAATCTATGATAAGATTCTTGAGAAATAAACAATAAACAATATTTTAAAATCATATTTAAAATTTTTTATATATAATATATCAAGTAAATTTAAATTAATAGTTTTATTAAAAAAAAAAACTAAAAATTTAATTGGTCTTTACTTTTTTTTATTTTTAGCATATTACAAAAATATTTTTTTCATAATCTTAATAATCCTTTTTTATTATTAATTATATTACTTTAAAAATAATTTATATAAACTTATATTTTGAATCATATAACTGTAAATAAATTATTTTAAATATAATAATTCTATAATTTGACAAAAAGCTCTTAATAAGGTAAATACTATTTTAATATATAATTAATATTTATAAGATTATTTGTAATTATATATTCTATTAATGTAAGCAAAATGAAAAAAATCATTAATAAAAATAGTTATAAAATTTAATACCATTTGTCGATCATTTAACTCCTAATCTGGCCGATCGGATGATCCAAATAATTTAGTAAAAGAAATTCAAATAAACGCACGACCTTTTTAAACATTTAAAATATTTTGAATATTATATAAAAATTTCTACGAAGTACTGTATGCCGAATGGTAATTTAAAATAATCATGTGAGCTCGAAATTTTTAACTTCAGGGTCTTACACAAATCTTCGCTAACGTTGATGCTAAAGACATTATTCTATGGAAGATACAAATTCCCATGACCATGACACAGTTGAGAAATCTTTCACTCCAGAACAAGACGAACTCCTAATAACCAAATTCACACCTCCTGATGAGCATGTCCATGTCCTCATAAAGTTTCCGCGTAAGTTTTGGTACTGTATGTAAATTTCGATATCCTTGTAATATTTACTCAACATATCTTTGTTTCTAGTTTAATCCTGGAAGAAGCGTTGTGTTTTCCGCTACCCGTTACATATTCTCATGGAATGAAATAAATCAAAGGATACTACGAGGGTCAATTTGACCCACCGTCAAGGATTCTTTGGATCGCTTCGACGAATTACCGAAATTTGAGAGAGATAATAAATGAAGAGGATGTTCGAGGTGTTTTTGATTTCAACATTTGTCAGACATTGAATAAATTTACCGGATCAGATTATGATTATTCAAGACGGCCAACTTATATTCGAATTTCAATTTCGAATTAGAATTGTATTTTAAAATATCCTCGAAGAAATCGTTTCCCGGATGCTACTAACGTAGTCTTTTCCAACGGAGACGTAAGTATATTTTAATATTTTCTGAATATGATATGATCTTTAATTGACATTCGATTGCCTTATTTGGTAAATAGGTTTGGAAACTTGTCATAATTATTATTTAAGGAGCTGGAGAAGAAATAGAATGTTACCCGTACCTTGCTCATAAATGCAAGATTTTTAGTGCGAAAATTATTACATGATGAGAATATCTTTTAGAATTTACTAGTTGGATGCGGTTTTTCTTCATCATAGGATGACGAAATTTTTATGTGAATATGAATCAAGCGATGGTCTTATTAGACAGGTCAAAACATCCGTCTTGGTTACACCACACATTTATTATTTACTACAACAATAGTCGTTAAACAATAGTATAGAGAAATACGTCGCGAAGAAGTTTTGTTAGGAAAAAATGTTCAAGAGGATAGGCGAGATATAATGTCTTTATTTCTATTGAAGTATTCGATTATTAAAAATCAAGATGGTGTTGACAGAAAAATGGCGAAACGAGAAAAATTTGAAGACGTAACCATGTAATTATGTCGAATTTGATTGAAGTCTTTATTGGTGGAACTGAAACGGTACGTAGTTTTAAACAAACATTTTATTAAAAACATTTATATATATAATTGTGTGTATGTTTATAGACTTTTTTATATGTAGGCGTCAAGTTCAATAGGTTTCATCACATATTATTTGTATAATTAAAGAAGTGATTTGATTGATTCCTTTAATTGTGGTTAAAAGACGAAATAGGAAAAATACATTTGGAGCAGACACAAATTTTTACTCTTATGACACAGATTCAAGAATCCTGAATATTTTATGAATCCGGAGGAATTTAATCCAAGACCTCTTTGGACAATTTTTTAGTTTTAGATTTTTTCGCTTAGTTTTTTTTCCTTTTTTGTAGTATATATATGTATATTTTATTCTTTTCGGATTCATGACGGAGGGTTGGTTCGATCTGCAGGCTTTTTTAAGCCATTTCATCCAGGCCGAAACGGAGTCGTAGGCCAAATCAAGGCACGAACCTTACGACAAACGGTGCGACAAACTATAAATACGTATGTGCCATGGTATGAATGAAGACTGATTTCATGTTTTTCGGGTTCTTTAGTATCAATTTAACTCGATATTCCAAAGGGCACGGAACCAGACGGGGTTCCAAGCGTTATCAATTCAGTTACAAGAATAAACCGAATTAACAAATGCGACTTTGAGGATTTTTCAGATGTTTTTAATTGACCCTTAATAAGTGATACTAGCTTTTTTCTTTGTTCCCCCCGTACTTCAATATTTGAGTTTTAAAAAAATATTGTGAAAATAAGTCGAACATATCAATTTTTTTATATACAGTACAATAAATATGCTTTATGCGATAATAATTTTCACGTCTCTGATAAAAATTGGCGTCGCCCGTATTTTAAACAGCGTAGCCCGTAAAAAAATGGTAGCCGGATTTTATTTACCGGGTAATTATTATTAGGGTTAGTATTAGAATTAATAAGTATTGTGGGACGAAATTTTTTTGATAAAAATGCTAATTGTCACAATCATATGTCATCCCTAATAAGTATGTAACCCGGCAAATAAAATCCGGCTACCATATTTATCTACTGGTATATATTATTACTATTTTTAAAAATGGGGGTCAAGAAAGTTGATACATTTCGCTAAACGGAAATAATATGTTCAAATTTCCAATGAACTCTTTACCCATTAAGCCACTTTCTCATTAACTACAACAAATTTACATTTGTATCATAGGGTGACCTTGGAAAACTTTTGCTTACAAGGAAACAGTTTAAATTTGGACAATTTTTCTTCGTCTCTTTCAATAGCTGATCAACTTTGAGCCACAACTTCCTAAAATAGCTCTCCCGCACTCTAGTGAAATAGAATCTAATAATGAGGATGAAAGTAAATTAATATTTTTTTTTTCACATTTTCCCAAAGACTTTTATCAATGTCTATACCTAAAACCCCTACAACACCCGTCCCACATTTGAATTTTTATTCCTCATCTGCTAACCTCAATGTATAAGGAGAATGAGTTTAGATCTAAATGAGCGCCGAAATATGTGGTGAAAGAAAGAGATATTCGAGATGTATTTGATTTCAATATTTGTCAGATAATGAATAATCAAGACGATCAACTTATACTATTGGCATTTCAATTGCCACTATCTTGCGAAATTTTTGATATTGGTGATTGAAATTAAAAGGAAGCAAGATATTAAACAGAAATTTAAAGTTTTACAAAACGAATGTAAAGGCAAGATGGTAATCAAACAAATCTACCATTTTATGGGAGAAAACGAACTTAGATATAGTATTCTCGCCACGATAATCTCTAGTTGAACATACAAGACTTTGGATTTCAAAACTCTCCTGTTACAATCAGAATCTCCTCTGGTACTTAAGACATATTCTACCTAGCTCGACAAGTAAATGAGAAGTCTTAATCTCTTCAACCTCTTCGGATAACAGTACCAGCTCATGAGAATAATGTAATTCACGTATTCTTCGATCGCACTTATCTTCTAGTCAACATCGATATTATTGATTTTTTTCTTTAATGTCGTTGGATCCTTATTTTACTTTAATTTGAACTTAACTCTTCATTGGACATTTTAATTTATTCTTTATTTTTATTCGAACTTTGATTTAATATTTCATTTTTTGGTATTTGATTTTTTTATAATCAAGCTAAACATTTATTTACTATAAAAATACTGGCTTATAAAAAAAAATTAAAAGAATTAAACAAATAAATTTTTGAAAAAAAAAAGAAATTTGATTTATAAATCAAACTTAATTACAATTTGTATTAATCATTTTCAAAAAATATATCTATTCTTTTTTTCTTTTCATACAACCTTTTGAAAATAGCTGTAATGATCGTAAAAGTAAATGATATTGCGGTTGTGATGTGTTTATAAAATGGTTCAATATAATTCTTTTTTCAAAAATTTATTTTTGTTTAATATAGATGCCAATCTACTGAATTAAATTATTTTATTCATGTTTAAAATTAATAAATATTTCAAGTTTTTAAACTTTAACTTGCAAGTTACTGATCTACTCTTCCTTTTTTTTTTATTTCTTTTATATAAGAAAATCTTTTAGTCTTTTTTATTATAGTAAATGAGTATTATCATTTCTACATAAAAATTTAAAGGTTTACCTATATTAAAAAAAAATGATAATTGTAAAAAAATTATAAAATAAAATATATTTTTATAATTAGAGATTTTTAATTTAATATAAATAAGAATAGAATGTTTATTTCTTAATGTTTATACTTTTTTTTTATAAAGAATATAAAATCTATAGGTATATTGGTAAATAAATAATAAATAGTTTAATCTTCTTTTATAATTTGGTAATATTTTTAGATTATTAATAATAAGTCTTTCTAATAAAAAAAATAAATTAAATAAAAATATAAAAGTATTTAATATAACAAAATTTTTATTAAAAAATTAGTATTTGCTTATAATAATTAAAAAATTTATATAGAAGGTTTTTATACTCAAATGATCACTATAATAATACAGTTGACACATTAGCAAAAGCTGATAGCTCTCACCTCACATTGAACAACAAATCTTTGAGATACCAATATAATTTGTATTTTCATGATAATATAGTACTCACCCTACCAAGATATTTTATTAAAAACCTTCTCAGATCAATTAATTTTCATAATATCCAGTTACTATTACATTTTTATAAATACATCATGATGGATATTGATTGATTATATACAATCTTCATTTTTAATGACAATGAAAATAACTCTTAAACCTCCTTCAAAGCCTCATCTATTCACAAATTCAAAATTAAATTCATGTTGAAACTTTTTTCTATACTAGAGATTCTTAAGACTAGACATCCAGATCTTTACGACTAATCATAGAATTGTTTTAGATATTTTATCTACTTATGAAATTTTTGATCACATTTGGATTTGTACTAGTATTGTACACTAAATACAGTAGCGGTCATAAGTATCCGACCGCCTCCAACTCCGGCTACAAGTAAGTAAATTCAAAATTTTTTTTTTATTTAAAAAATACATAACCAATTAACTAAAATTAATACATTGTGTAGTCACCATCTGACTCTATAAGTGCAGCTGTACGCCT